GTGAAGCGCTTTGAGACGACGTGATAGGGCGTTACACCTAATGCAAGGATTATTATTATTAACACACGTTCTTGTTGGCGTACAGCGTGTGTTGTTATACACCCCACAGGCGTTCGCCAACAAGTCACACAGTCACTACACTTTGACCCAAAAATGCCGTGGAGCACTTTGAGACGTGCTTTGGCTTGCAGTTGACGGGCTACGCAGAAGGCAAGTTCTTCCTCACTGCCACCCGAGGGGGTTTGAGTGCATGTGCTCCTGTTTTGGAGTCTCGCTTGGCTGCGGGTGGGGGGGGGGGGGGGTGGGGGGGAGGGAGGGAGATCAGCTTCTCTGCCTTTATATGGCAAAGCCGCTCTGAACGTCGGAACATCTGTTGAGCGAAACAGCTGGTGATTTCAGTGGCTGACTTCTTTGCTGGGTTGGGTATGATTCGAGATCGCAGATGAAAGGAGGTGTCTGTCACCGCGATGGATATTACTGTGATATCAGGCGAGTTATTAAATGTCAGTACACACCTCCCTCTTGTCCCCGCTGACAGGTCCTCTCAACACTTGGCCGATCGGGAGGCCCAGGGTTACGGGTTGGGGCTTTGTTGGCAAACATCACCATCTACTGGAGCGATAAAAGTTGCGCAAGAGAATTTTATTTTTTTTCCGGGCAGCGTTTGATAGAATAACAATCGGGATCTTGGCATTTGCTACAGCGCCATTTACGTCGGGAGGACTTCTCTAAGCGCCTCACAGGATTCGTGATGATAAGAATAATCCTTGCGTTCGATACAGCTCCTCAGTCACGTCTTCGAGACGTCTCAAAGAGCTTCACAGAATACACCGTAAAGTGTCGTGACCGTATATTTTGGGGGCCAAACTCCGCAGCCAGATTTGGGCCCAGCAACGTTCCCCAAACAGCCATGAAGTGAACGACCAGCGATTTTAATCCTGAGGATTGTTGGCCAGGACAAGGTCAGAGAGAAATTCCCTTCTCTTAAAAAANTTAAGGCGATGGATAGATCCGTGGGAAGTAAGGGTATTAAGAGGTTGTTTTTTTTCCCGTCAGCCGCGTGTCTGACCCACGCGGAAACCCATCACCGTGTTTAAGGGTCTCCAAGCCAAATTTAACTGAGAATTAATTCCATGCATCCACCTACACATGGAAATCCCGGAGGTAGATTGTTGGAATGGAATGCGCTCTCTCTGTCTCTCTCTCTCTCTCCCTGGAGGGACGCCCCCCGCTTACCTAATTCAGGAGAGTATCAGGCGCAGGTTGACCAGAGCCAAGGCTTGAGGGGGAGCCCAGACTGTGTGTGTGGGGTCACTGCTGGAGTCTAACCGGCTAAACCCACACAGCTCGGCCATTGATATCGCTGTCTGGCCAAGCTTTCCCGCTGCTTGTCCAGCGAGGACCCCCCTCCCCGTCAGTTAGGGCTTTGGCTGTGGGGTTACCAGGAGCTGAGGGCGGAGGATTCACTGCCCCCAGTGACTGGTCGGCCCTTCCAGGTCCTGCCGATGAGCCGGGCCGGGCTGGGCTGTGCTGCCATCAGCAGCGAGCGCCCTGGGACACTGCCCACCCTCCTGGCTCAGGAACCAGTCTAGAGACTGTCACAGAGTAGGGGGGGGGGGGGCTCGATCCCCACATTCCGTTGCCAAACAGGTCACCTTAGAGGCAGTTCAGCTCCAAGGGGACCCCACTGACCTCCCCTCCCGAGGAGGACATTGGAGTGAGATTTGGAGGTTAACCACAGAAGTTAATAATAGCCGCACATCCTCAAGTTACCCGGTGAGAGTTAGTGGGTTTATATTTTCATAAGCTGTTTATACTTTAATCTCCATTAATTCTCGCATTGATAACCGGCAGCCTGCATCGCTTGCTCTGTCATTTCACAAACCATCGGACTTAACTCAAGAGTTTCTCTCCCTACCTCTCTCCGAGGTCCCCAAATTCACCCCCGTCTCAGTCCCAAGACCATTTGGCCTTTATTAATCCTTCTCTCCTCCCCCGCCCCCCCTCTCTGTCCTTCCCTCTTCCTTCACGGTGACTCCCTTATATAAAAAAAAGAGATTATTACCCCCGGAAAGCGATCCTCCAATAAACCGGGTTCTACTTACCGCCGGGTAAACAGAGGGCGTGAGGAGTAAGGAAACTTGCCTAAGGTTTTGCCCCGGGCGCTGTCCGAAGGCGCTTAGACCTGAGTTGCAAAGGTACAGAGGTATAATAATAATAATAATAATAACAATGCGCTCTATCAAATGCAAGGTGTATTATTATTATAATTATTATACAGTTCTCTCTCCTCATTTAGTTTGAATCTTCTCAGTGGTCACCATGCGATGCCAAGACGTGGGCACCAGAGGGCAGCGGTAAAGAAAATTATTTATTCACAGTGAACACAATACAAATTTATAAATTTACTGTTATATCATATCTCTGTTTCTGGTCTGAAATCCCTGTCGGTGCCCCATCGACGTGTGTTGACATCTCAAAGCGCTTTTCACAGTGATTAATAACAATAGTCATGGTCCTTGCGTTTGATACGGAGCCCCTTGTCGCGTCGCCGAGACGTCTCAAAGCGCTTCGCAGAAAATATTGTAAAGTGGAGTGACTGTGTATTTGTGAGTGCGACGTGGCAGCTAAAGGCGTCCAGCAAACAGTGGTGGGCTGAGTCACCAAATTTTTTTGTTTTTGGAGGGATTATTACCCCCAGAAAGTGACCCGCCAATCGACTAACAGCCGGGTTCCTACTTACTGCAGTAAACAGAGGCGCGTGTGTGTGTGTGTGTGTGTGTGTGTGTGTGAGTGTGGAGTACGGAAACTGGCCCAAGGTTTCGTCCTGACTGGGAATCAAACCCAAGCTCTCTCGGTGCGAGGCGAGAGCTCTAACCTCCGCCCTACGGGACTCCACACAACCGAGATGCCCCATGAAACGCTTTGAGGTGTTTTGGTGATGCATCAAGGATTATTTCTGTTAATAACATTTATAAACCTCCAGTGAGATTACTGCCTTGTAATCACATCCACGTATACATCTATAACTGACCTGAAGATCCTAATACGATTACTTCCAGGGGCGTGTGTGTGGAGTAAGGAAACTTGCCCAAGGTTTCGCCTCACCTGCCCGGGGATAGAACATGGGCCCTCTTGCTTGCGAGGCAAGCGCTCTAACTGCTACGCCACAAGGCTCTACAATTTGATTGCAATGGAGTGGGATGGATAGGACAAGGTACAAGAAGCAGACTAGTGCTGACTGTGTTTGTTTTCTGTGTGTCTGCATTGCAATGTGCATTTCCCCCTCCCCCCCTCTCTCTTTCTCTCTCGGGAGGGAAACTCCCTGTTTATCTAATCCTTGAGGATTGGTTCAAGATATAGTCCAGGATTAGTCTCCTAATCCAGCAGAGTTTAAGTGCAAGTTGGTAAGAGCCCAGGCTGGGGGAAGGGGAAGCTTGCTTGCGGTCGGGGTACCTGCTGGAGTTTAAACAGTTAACATCCCACAGAATGCCATGGCTTGTCCAGCTCGGACCAGCCTATCTTCTGATGCTTTTGTTCGCAGCGCGACACGGACACAATGAGTTGAATTGTGCCCACATTTCTATGCACGCAAGGGGGTTCCGACCTGCTCCAAGCCTCAGCAACAAAAGTACACAGTCACTACACTTCACAGTATGCCTGTGAAGCGGCGCTTTGAGTCCCGTAGCGCAGTGGTTAGAGCGCCCGCCTCACAAGGGAGAGGAACTGGATCTGATTCCCGGCCGGGCAGGGCTAAACCTCAGGCAAGTTTCCTTACTCCACACACGCGCCGCTGGCAGCGGTTGTTAGTCGATTGACGGATCACTTTCCGGGGGGGGTAATAATCCCCCCCCAAAATAAATTAAATAACCCTAATAATTTGGACACTCAATCCACGGCTGTTTGTGGGACGCTGCCGTGCGCAATGGGCTCCCGCCTTTCGCCCACAAAATACAGTTCACTTCACAGCATATTCCGTGAAGCGCTTTGAGGCGTCTCGACGATGTGATAAGGCTCTGTATCGAAAGCCAGGCTTATTATTATTATTATTATTATGATGATTATATATTATCTGAGACGCCTCAATGAGGTGATAAGGCATCAAATGCAAGGTTTATTGATAATACATATTATTGGAGACATCCTCCGTGAAAGGCGCTGGTACCCAACAGTTGAGGAATTTTGTTTCCAGCAATAAAAAAATAAACGCAGCAAAAAAAATACAGGAGCTGTTGCAATCAAATCTATTACATCATTAGGATAATTGGCTTCTCTCTGCAGAAAAGCCCAGATGATCAGCACCAGATAGAAGCCAACAGCCAAGGAGCCCCTCCTTACCCACTATACCCCTTGGCTTTGGCTCCAATTGGCCCAGCAACCCATTCATCACCAACTTCTACCAAGTCATTGGTGCCCTGTCCTGACCATCATCTCAACCCTCGTTCCCCCATTGGGCCATCAGGTCCCATCCTCTCTCCAACCCATCAACCTGCCTTGACTGCTTTGGTTCTTGGCCTCGATTGGCTCCTTCTGTGTGTCCATCAACCCCAGCCTTGCTCTGGATTGGCTTGGAGGTGGGAGGAGGAGAAGAAGAAAGAGAGAGAGAGAGAAAGAGAGAGAGTGTGTGAGATGGCTCTGTATTGCATTTCCAATTGGCTGTTTCACAAGTAAATCAACGGGTGTAGGGTTTTTATTTGGGCCATTCTTGGTGTCCATCAAGGTATCCACTGTCCCTAACTGGTCCTTGGTTGGTGAGAATCATTGAGAGCCCATCCTCCACCCCATCCAAGCTATCGTTGGCCAATTCCTGTGTCAATCAATCCAGCCCTTGGTCTCAATTGGTCCATTAAGGACCCGCCCCCACCCCCTGATAGGGCGGGCCAGGCTCTTTGATCTGGATTATATGATTGGCTCCAAGGCTCTAACCAACCAGCAATGGCCAGGAGCCCAGCTGGGTGGGTGGGTAAGACTAGAGCCAGTGTAGGCAGCATCTCAGAGAGAGAGAGAGAGGTCAGGAGGAACGCTCAAAGCAACAAAGCACAGCCAGGCTCCGTCTCCTCCATCACTCCTCTCCCGCAGTCAAAGAAGCCTGAGGCTCCCAGCTCATCCAATCCGTTAAGAAAAGCATCACGGTCCCCTCCCTCTCCTCCATTCTCAGAGCAAAAGGACCAAGGAATTTACTTCCCCAGAGGCTCGTAGCTGGTCAATTCTGGGAGGGGAAAAGCATCAGATCTCTCCCCCCCACCCCTTCCTTAGGAACATCTGGACATCATCCAACCTCGCCCGCAGGGGCCTGAAGGAAGAGTCTCCTTGTGGTCCTTGCGTCTGGTGTCTCTCCTCTCTCTCTCTCGCTCTCTAAGGCATCCAGTTGAAGATGGGCGCTGTGCTGTCGCTCTCCCCAGAGAACAAGACCAAGGCGAGCACTGGGGAGGATGGACAACACGCGGGAGCTAAGAGCTCCAAGGAGAAAAGTCTGAAGAAACATTCGGTGCTGATCTCAGCCCTGACGTGGAAGCGTTTGGTGGCTGCTTCAGCCAAGAAGAAGAATGCTAAGAAGGTCAACCCAGCCCTGCCTTGCCCGGCCAAGAGCAACCCTGTGGATCACCTGAACAGCGAGAACCTCAGGAAAAACGGGCAGCAGACAGCCCCCATCTCCTCAGATCTCAAATTCAACGGCCCTCAGCAGAAGCCCCCTCCCACCGCGCCCATCCCCGTGCCCGTTCCCGTGGCCCCCACTGCGCCCATCAACGGGACCTCCAACGGGAGGCAACTGGTGTCTGTGCAGAGACAACCGGCCAACAACCACTGCCACAACACCTCGCCACGGCGGGTAGTGGTACAAGCGTCCACCGGGGAGCTTCTCCGCTGCCTGGGTGACTTTCTGTGCAGGAGATGCTACAAGCTCAAGCATCTGAATCCCAGCGAGCCAGTACTGTGGTTCAGAAACGTGGATCGCTCGCTCCTCATCCAGGGCTGGCAAGACCAAGGCTTCATCACTCCGGCCAACGTGGTCTTTGTGTACTTACTGTGCAGGGAGATGGTGGACGAGGAGATAGCCAGTGACTTTGAACTGCAAGCCACCTTCCTGACCTGCCTCTACCTGGCCTACTCTTACATGGGCAATGAGATCTCTTACCCCCTCAAGCCCTTCCTGGTGGAGGTAGACAAGGAAACTTTCTGGGAGCGGTGTTTGGCTGTCATCAACGTGATGAGTGCCCAAATGTTGCAGATCAACTCTGACCCTCATTTCTTCACCCAGGTGTTTCAGGACCTGAAGAACGAAACCAATAGCAGAGACTCTAATGGACAATACATAATCAACTTGGATCGTTAAGTGTGGGTTTTTTTCGGGTTTATTTTAAGGTGCGTGTGGAAAAGGAAGGGAAGGAAAGGGAGGGAGGGAGGGAGGGAAGTGAAATTGAATGGGAGATGTTCTATAGTCTTGTGTTATTAGGGGATTGGGTTGTGGGGAGAGAGGAGGGAAGGGGTGAAATCTTCTGCTAGGAATGTAAGAAATGTTGAGAGAAAAATACTCAAATACTGTATAAGACTCAACTTGAGAGATCACTATTTCCGAGGCGATTGAGTCAGTCCACACACACACAACACACACACACAACACACACACACACACACACACAGCAAATTGAAGAAATCTCTCACTCGCAAACGTGTTAATGTCTTTTCAGAAACCAGGCAAAAAAAAGAAAAAGGTTTCCTTAAAAAAAAACACACACACACGCGCAGCGCTGGAGATGAGTGTAATTATTCCGCCCATTATTTTTTTATTGTTAATTATTATTTATTAATGAACCAAAAAAAATTGCAAAGTGCATGTCCAATCTTTCGTCCCTGTGATATTTATTTCATCGTGATTGGTGATGCCCCATTTACAGTCCAGAGGCCATTGCTTATGTGCTGTAGATAGAATGTGAATTAATATATATATTATATATAAATATACATATATTTATTTAGTTATTGCATTATTTCGCTTTTCTTCCCCCCCCCCCCTCCGACTCCTTGCCCGCCCTTTGTGAAGAGAGAATCACTGCAGTATTTGTGGCTTGATGTAGGGAGGGGCATATCAATAGAGGACAATGAAACTGTAATGCTGATTAATAAGAAGAATATTTGCATTTGATACAGCGCCTTATCGCGTCGTCGAGACGTCTCAAAGCGCTTCACAGGATATACTGTAAAGTGAATCGACTGTGTATTTTGTGGGCGAAATTTTTGTGGTTGTCAAATTACTGCCTCGAACACACACACACACACACACACACGCGCACACACCATCTTTCTCTTGTGATTTATTTTCTTTTGCACATGTCAATTCAGCGAAATCATGTCTTTATCTGAATGTAAAACTTCCTGGTTTCGACTCGGAAACAGTCAAAACGTGCCAATTGTTGAAGCGAACCGTTAATATAAATAACCTTTGGGTTTTTTTTTTGTATTGTACATTTCTCGGGAGGAACAACAAAAAAATATATATATATGAGACCGAAGAAATATGAACCGATTCTCTCGCCTCCTTTATTTGTTTGAGACGTGGGTAAGGGACGGGGCTGGGGGGGGGGGTTGGGGTGGGTGGGTTTGTAGGTGAACGATTTTAGGCTCTCTGTGTATTTGTTTTGTGTGCGGTTGTGGTTGACGGCTGTGCGTCTGGACAGGATGTGTGATGTGCTGTGTTAATTCCCGTGAGCTGGTGTCATTCGCCCAGCGCGAGAATAGCTGGCCCTTTGTCCTTGCGTAGCGGTTAGAGATAATGGATTAAGTCCTTATCCGCAGGCATCTATAAACGGAGACAGCACAGCACGAATAGCTGGCAGATTACCTGGATCGACATCTTTTAGCGGTTCCCACTATCACACCCTCCTTTTTCCTTCCCCCTCTCCGTCTCCCCGCCACCCACCCATCACAAACTGCACTGCAGCTAAATAACTCTACTGTAAGGGGGTGGGAGGGGGAGGTGTTTTGAGGTATTGGCAATGCGTTGTCACATAAAATAGAGACTAGCGGGAGGCCATTCAGCCCCTTGAGCCTGTTACACCAGTGTACTACCATAGCAGATACTTTAATCCCATTTCCATGCTATTTCTCCACAGCCGTAGAAACCTTTACCTCTCAAGTATCTTATCTATGTTTGTCGCTTGTTAAATATCCCGATTGATTTTGGAATTGGGGGGTTGGGTGTGGGTGGGGTGGGAGTGGTGGGGGGAGTGGGGGAGTGTTTTTCACTCTCACAGCCCTCTGTGGATAGAATAATATAGTCCTTAAATTTGATATATCACCTTTCACTTCAGGGGGACATCTTAAAGCACTTCACATGGGTTATTCTGTAAAGGTGACTGTGGATTTTGTGCATTTATGTGGCAACCAATTTGCGCATAGCAATATCATACAAACTGTCATTAAGTGAATGACCAATTTTAATTTAAGGACCACCAGGAGAAACTCCTGTTATTGTTAATGCATTATTATAATGAATAATATACAGTAATAATAAATAATAAATAAATAAAAATTCTGGCATTTGACACAGGGCCTTATCGCGTCTTCGAGACGTCTCAAAGCGCTTCAAAGAATATGCCGTAAAGTGAATTGGCTGTATATGTTGTGGATGAAACGCAGCAGCCAATTGCGCGCAGCAGCGTCCCCACGGACGGTCGTGGATTGAGTGACCAAATTATTTTTTTTTGTTAAACAGATTATTACCCCCCGGAAAGCGATCTGCTAATCGACTAATCAGGTTCCTACTTACCGCTGGGCAAACAGAGGTGCGTGGAGAAAGGAAACTTGCCCAAGGTTTCGCTCTGCCCTGGAATCGAACGCAGGGCCTCTCGTTTGCGTGGCGAGCGAGGGCTCAAACCCACTACACTACCGCCAATGACAAAGTAACTGACAACGACACCGACCAGTATATACCAAAACATTATACATTTTATAATTCCAATAATTGGCAATTCCGCACAATTCCTCCCCCCAAAACATTGATACTCATTCAAATGGAAAATGACGCTTTCGGTTCAAAACCATCTTTAGTAATTGTTGTGGCTTTGGAACCGATTATGGTCCAGAAATGATTTGCTGTCTCATTAATAACCGGCCGACCAAACAAAATGGAAACTCTTTGGCCTGTGAATGGGTGCGGGGAGGGGCGGTGGCGAACGGCGTCCTGTAACAAGCGGAGTCCTGTCGCGTAGTGGTTAGAGCGCTCCCTTCGCAAGCGAGAGGACCCGGGTTCGATTCCCGGCCAGTAGGAACCCGGTTGTTAATCAAACGGTAGTCACTTTTCCGGGGCGGGGCGGGGGGGGGGGTAGTAATCCCTTCAAAAAATAAACAAACAAACAAACAAATAACGATTTGGTCACTTCAATCAACGGAACGTTTGCGGGGACGTCGCCGGGCGCAATTGGCCACCGCGTTTTCGGCCGCAAAATGCACAGTCGCCACGCACGGCGGCGAAGCGCTTTGAGGCGTGTCGAGGACGTGACGAGGCGCTGTCTCGAATGCGAGGGTTATTACGATTAGGGTTGGAGGAGGTGGCGAGAGCGGTTGGAGCGAAGCTAAGGTGCTCTCCGTGGTACTGAGTCCTTCAGCACACCTTCCGCAGTGCTGGTCTGAGTGTCTGAGGGAGTGGGCGCTGTCCATGGTATTGAACACTGAAACTTGTTCATCATATGAGGGGCCAAATCCTGCGGACGCTGGACATCTGAAATAAGAACAGACGTGGCTGGGAAAGGTCATCGAACTGGAACACCGCCTCACTTTCTTCTCTCCATAGATGCCGCCCGACCGGCCGGGCGTTCCCAGCGACTTTGGTTTTGATTTCATTCATCGTGCTGGATACACAACTCAATAGTAATAATCCTTCCAGTCGATATAGCGCCTTATCACTCACGCCCTCGAGACGTTTCGAAGCACTTCACAGAATATACTGTAAAGTGGATTGACTGTATAGTTTGTGGGCGAAACGCGGCAGCCAATTGCGCACAGCAGCGTCCCACAAACAGCCGTGGATTGACTTGACCAAATATATATTTTTTTTNCAAGGGACTATTACCCCTGGAAAGCGATCCGCCAATCGACTAACAACCAGGTTCCTACCTACTGCTGGGTAAACAGAGGAGTGTGGAGTAAGGAAATTTGCCTTAGGTTTCCTCTGCTAATCAGATGCTTGTGACAGTGAAACCCCTTCTTCCCCCCACCCCCCACCCTGTACACCCTGGAGAATCCATCTGGACTATCAGCCCAAACTTCCAAAGTAAGAGCTTGAACCGACAACCTTCTCAACCAACAGGAAGTGTGCTGTGACCTGAGCCAAAGCTGAGTTATCCCTGAAACACAATCGGACATGGGGGAAGGGGAGAGTGGAAAAGGCATTTACTGGATAGCGATCAATCGAGGCAAAGGCAACAGGGTCTGAGGTCATCTCCCCCCTCCATCCTTCCCCCCCACCACCCATCTCCAGGGCAATCAGGACGGATGGCATTGGATTGTGCAGATTTACTGCACAAAATCAATGTCGGATCCATCAGGTTCTATTGGTGGAGTCATGTTCTTTTTGTGTGGCAAACAATTTGCACTCAGCGATTAGTTATTCAGGGAGATTTCAGTTGCGGGCAATTAGAATGGGGGAGGCACAAAAATAGCTGTGTTGGGGATTGAATTGGATTAGCGGAGAGAGAGAGAGAGAGAGAGAGAGGACGAGAAGGAGAGAAAAGTAGAAATGGTGACTGAAATGTAGGCTCTACGTGAGTCCGCTTGTCGATTGATCCGACATTGTCTGTGAGCTGGAGGTTGGGGCAGGAAGTATTGGCTACAAAGCAACGGGAAGCATTGGCCTGGTTAGGATTTTGCCACAAAGTCACATAATATTAATATTAATAATAATAATAATCCTTGCATATGATACAGCGCCTTATCATGTCTTTGAGACGTCTGAAAGCGCTTCGCAGGACACGCTGTAAAAGTGGAGTGACTGCGTGTTTTTTTGTAGCCTTTTCCTGGTATAAATTGGTGGTTGACCGCGTGACATTTCTGGCCGCCAACAAAAACAACTCGCTGCCCCTCACGCAGAGCGCTCGATAGTGGCGGCTCTCAATGTTCCTGGCACCGGATCAAATGTAATTATTGTGGAGTGGGCAGAGAGAGAGCAAAAAAAAACATTGACGTGCCAAGTGACATGTCCTAACTTGGCCTGCAAGGGGGTGCGACAGCTGACCTGACCGCCCGAGGGTGGGGGAAAGGGACAGAAATATCAACCGTTTCTTTTTCTTGCCCCCACACCCCCAAAATAATGCTTAATAACAATAATAATAATAATAATCCTTATGGCATTTGATACAGCGCCTCATCACGTCTTCTTTTGGTGGGCGAAACGCGGCAGCCAATGGCGCACAGCAGGATCCCCACAAACAGCCGTGGATTGAATGACCAAATTATTATTCATTTATTTCTTTTTTCGAAGGGATCGGTACCCCCGGAAAAGCGATCCGGCAATCGACTAAC